TAGGAGGGCTGCCCCCCGGAGCGGGGGGAGCGCCCCGGCACCGCCGGGCTTCGGAACCGTCGCCGCTGCCGCCTCTCGTCTGTACTGTCTCTGGTCGGACTTGTCAGCCGGGACTAGGCTGGGCTTTTACTGTTTCACGTCTGTCGTATTGCCTGGGAAACTTCCACAGCCCAGTACAACTTTGAGTAAAAAGGGAAAAAAAAGAGTAAAAAGCAGAAAAACCGTTTCCTTAGTGTTACAGCTGGGAGCAAACACAGCCGACAAGTTCCTCTTAAAATACAATTGCCACATCACTCCTTCGGAGGAAGCGAGACATGGAACATAGGACCGCAGGGAAAGCACTTAATCTCTGGTCCTTTTGTGTAATGTGAGAAAAGACTGGGCTTTGCTGTGCCGTAGGACTCTCCGCTGGGAGACTTAATGCCTTTTAAAGTATTCTGACGCTTTTCAGAAAGAGCTTAAGTGCAAATTGCTCCTGCTGTAAGGTTCTAATCCAATGAATTGAAAACGAGTTTGGGTATTTGATGAGACCGCTGCTCTGTGTTTTTTGTCATTTTCTGTAGTAAAAGCAAATGTAATCATACCAGTACTGGACAAGGTTTGTCTGAAATTTGGGTGCATTCAGTCGCTACCTGGTGGTTCTAATATCCATTTCTGAAACTTGTGTATGCTTTCTGCTGGCTTTGACTGACTGCTAAGTGGAATCCTTTGTATTGTTGATACTTCCAAATCTTGTGTAACATCTGCAACCGCTGTAGAAATACACGATGTTGTTAGTGTTGGATGGCTATCTTTCTTCCTGTTTGGTTTTCCTCACAGAAATCTTTTTAGAACCAAGAGACTGCGATTAATACTTTTTTTTTTCTTGTTTCTCCTTCTAATTCAACAGATGCAGTTTATGTTGCTTTTTAGTCGCCAGGGGAAACTGAGACTCCAGAAGTGGTATGTCCCATTATCTGACAAAGAAAAGAAGAAAATCACAAGGGAACTTGTTCAAACAGTGTTAGCCCGCAAACCAAAAATGTGCAGCTTCCTGGAATGGAGAGACCTGAAGATTGTCTACAAAAGGTTGTTCTGTCTCACTAACCTCCTAATTGCCATACATCACAAAGCGCTGTAATAAGTAGCAAGAGAATAACACAGGTTGATTTTTCTGTTGTTGCTTGTTTGTTGTTGTTGTTTTTTTTTCCTTCCCTCTGCTGGTTATGGAGAAGACTGACTTCTCCCTTCAATCTAATTTGATAACCAAGTAAGAATCATTCATGTGTGGAAAATCACTCATGCGTTTAGAAATATGCTGAGGAAAAAGACTTCTCTCTACTTTCATAAAGAGTGGTGGTTCTTGGTTCTGTGTTTGGATTCACACAGTACATAAATGCATACAAATATAAAGCAACTAAGATTTGATAGGTGATAAATGAAAACAAATTTTTTAATAAATTTACCTCAGACAGTAACTTCATAAAGCACCTGAAAATGTAACTTGCTTTTAAAGGCTCATAGAAATAAGGAAATAATTTTTCTTTTTCCTGTTTTTATTATTTTTGCTATGAATTCAAAAAGGCATTTATCCTAATTGAGGAAATCATGGCTAGCTTTCTTTTGGTGGAAGCACTCTATAATTGTCTGTGCAATAGCTCAGTTTCTGAGTTGTCCCCTAACTTTCTAGGAGCATTTGGCAAGCCCTTTCTAGCTGCATGCTGATCTTTAGAATGTATCACAGTGTAGCGCTGTGAGTGTAATTTCTTCAGAACTAGCAGTAATCCTCATCCTGATTTGGTAGACTGAATCTCTTCCAGCTACAGCTGGAACCTAGTTAAAAACTTCAGGAAGTTTCTACATTCTTATTTTCTCTTTGAGATGGTAAATGACTTGTGCCCTACTAGAAATATTGTTGTATCCTTTCTGTAGGTAGGACAGAGAGAACTGAAGCTGAAGTAGAATTTGTAACTCTTTTTCAGTGTACAAAATGGGTAGAATCCAGAAGGTTTAGATGTTGTAAGACCTGGTTCCATATATTTGTCCGTGCATGTAAGGTCATGGACATGAATGTTACCGTCCTGTCTAATGCATGCAATTCTTTTAACCCAAGGGGGAGGAACAATACGTAAGGCTGTGCTTAAAGGGACTAGATCAGAAAAATTAGGCACGAGTAGGCCACTCTGTTCCCTTCCTTGGCCACTCTTGACCAGCAATAGCTGTGCTGGTGGTGAGCTGATGCCATGCAGCTGCTCTCCCTCTCCCTGTTTATTGCTGGTAACAACTACTTGTCATGTCCTTTTTTTGTCTAGGGAACTGGTAGAAAATTTGGTATGACTGAGTAGCTGGAAGTTGTGGTGTTCATGCATCTTGATAGTGTGCTCTGAGTCCTGTGGTCATGGAGAATGAAGAAATTTGCTGGGAGATATATGTAGAACATTTTGGGCTGGGTGTAGACTGCAGTCCATCTGCTAGACTGCTGGTGTGCATCGGTGACTGCAGTATCTTATTTCACTGCAAATCAGTCTGGCACAGTCTATGAAATCTTGCTTCAGATTAGCTTGTATCAAGCTAATGAACATCTCAAATCGTTCTGCTTTTTTGGCAGGTTTTGTAGGCTAAAACATCACTGAAGGACTGGGTATAGGAGGTGATAATTTAAATTCTGATATCTGATAATATTAACAGCTTTTAGGTTTGTGAGACTTCTTCCAGTCATCACACCATAATCAAAGGTGATGAGTTCCAACTAGCTTGATTTCTTTGAAGAAGACCTGTTACAGCTGAAAAGTAGATAATCCCAAGAAGATAACCATAATAGACAAAGTCTGATGCTTTCTGAAAGGTGAGTGGCTATAGGAGAAGGGAGCCTCTAGGAACTCTGTGTGGTTTGTGAAACTGCCAAAAGTGCTCCCAATTTGCTCATGGACAGAAGGTTCTTGAGCCTTTTTACTAAAATATGTTCTTCTCTGTCCTATTAGTGGGAAGGATCTGAATCTCCTGGTGCAAGTGCTTTCAGTATAAGCTATAAAAATATGTGCATAGTGCTGTTGTACATTTTGCATGTGCATATTGCTATGAAGAGTCTTAAATTGCTGAAATGGATGTGCTGTTCTTGTTTTTAGAGTGTATTTACTGTCAACACGTAAGAGAATTGACCTAGATACTGCAACTCAAAGAACAATTGGCATTATTAGAAGTGTACTCAAGGGTCTCATTGATGTATCTTTTTGCAGGAACAGAATGAACTCAAATGCAAAAACTGGCAAGCCAGTAGCTTTGCTGCCTTCTGATGTTTAAAATTTATCAGGAAAGCTGGACTATTTTGGTTAGCCTCCTTAGCTCTGTAGCATTTCATCCTTACAGGATGCTTTCTGAATGAAACTTCAAGAAGATAAAGTGTTTTAAAATCCATCTGAATGCCTATGACTAAGTTTTATTTTCCTTGGTTTCATACATGTAGCATTGATAATGGTTGCAAAATAGGGTCAGTTACTGCTGCCTTATTTTTTTCTTACAGAACACAGATGGAAAGTTGCTCTGCTTTTGACATGGTTCATGAGTGTGTGTGTTCTGTAGCTGGTTTGGAAGATTTCTCATTCTAGTTGGTACTCATCACCTTTAATTACGGTGTGATGATTGGAAAAAGTCCCACAGGCTGGTAGACACCAGAAGATTGAAAAAGGATGTGACCTTATAACTTCAAGAGACAAAGAGGGATTTGAAGTGACTTGCTAGAAAAAAAGAAATAAATGTGGGAAGCTAACAATTGCACTTGATGAAAATAGAGAGGGAGCTTTCTGCAGACAGCTGATTAGAAACCTAGCAAACATAATTAATGAACACTGTTCACTTTTTTGTGATTTTGAAAACTGTGATATCAGAGCATATAGGGTAGAAGTTCATGCAGCTTTCCCCTTGTGTCAAAGAAATGTGTTAATTTCTAATTTTCCTAAATATGAACTTACGATGTGATATTTTTTCTTTGAAGTTCTCAGGTGTTCACTGTTTTAGTGTCTTGCATGAGTTGTGTGAGTTATTTTCATTGTGTAGTATGTTAGAGTCAAAATCAAATTGCAGAATAACTGATTTTTATGTAAATTCTACTTTGTTAGAATTTGATTAACTGAGATCATGGGACTTGGTTATTGCTGGTTGGTAATTTCAGTAAGGATTGTGGCTCTGCTTCAGTGTCAGTTTGGAACTCTATTAGTGGGATGAAGTTGTAAAACTAGCACAGCTTGTGCTGCCCTTAATGTTGTGGCAATCGTCTTTAACATAAAATAAACATAATCATAGGTTATGTTAAAGACCTATGGAAAAATAAGTTTTAAAACTTTTTTTACTTTTCTCCCACTGGAAGGAATAATGAAAGAGCCCATTCTGGAAGGGGTGTGTCTCTCAGTTTGAAGTGTGGTGAACCTCAGGTGCAATTGTGTGGCTAGTGCTACATGCAGAGCAGTTGACCTGGTCCCTGTCGTTCTTTATGTGCATCTTAGCTGCCAGCTGTACCTGTTACAATGTTATGACGGTGTTGATTTGGTGGCTCTGGAAAAACCTACTGAATGCAGTGATTGTAGATCAGGTCCTCTTCACACAGGATTCTAGTTCATGTGGCACTAGGAGGACCTCAGCATCTTTGTACAGGGTGACCACTACCAAGCTTTTGTTCCTTTCCAAAATGAGAAACTGTAAAAGAAATGCTTAACTTCAATAGTGTCATTGTTGTTGATGACTGTATTCTTGACTGATTAGTGGCTGATCTGCCTGTCCTAGAGTCTGATATCTTCTTGTTTTACTAAGGAAATGTGTAAGGTTTTGAGGAGCAAGAAGAATCTTTTAACAAGCACAACTTTAGTGGTCCAGTTATCATGAAACTGTAGGTGCTCCCTTACGCACCTGTCTGCCTCTTAGAGGCAGCTTGGTTGCCATTTGCAGTTCAGCTCTGCTTCTGCCAAACTCTGTAAGCTTTAAATTTGTGCCATTAGGATCTACATGCAAAGAGATTAAGATGCTGACAGACTTATGGCTTGCTTGCACCCCTGGTGACAAATTTCCAGGGATGACTTAAAGCAGGTGTTCTCTCACCTAGCAGGAGAATGCCACTGAACTGGTAGGATTTGCAAGTTATCCTCTGCCTGCAGTGACCTGATTTCCCACCAGAATTACTGAACCTGGCTGCGAGTAAAGTAGTAGCAGAGAACTCTGCTGAAGCATTGCCTGCCCCTTGTGAGGCTTCCCACTTCTGAATTTTTGCAACTGTTGAGTGTGAGGTTCTTGAGTGCTTCACACACATTATCAGAAAAATACCCTAAAGGTCATCTGTCTAAAGGCAGGAAATTGTGTAACTATTTATACCCCTGGTGGGTTTCTTGTTCTTTTATTATCTGTTACATTTTTACACCTTTTTTTTTCAAGCTGGTTTTGGTCCCCTTTCTGACAAGTGGAGCATGTCTACCATAAAATATTTCCCTAAATGAGTGGAAGCATCTGAGCTGGATTTGAAGATTCTGTTAATAAGACCGACTGAGGAAAAAAAAAATCACAATTACAATAGGAATAAAAAGGACAGAATTTTTCTTAGTGCACTGCATTGCTTTTTTGTGATGTGGCACACTTTGCTATCAGGATTTCCCCTTTCATTGGGTGCATATGAAAGACAGAGTTCTGTCTTTCAGACGTGTCTTTCAGCCCAAGTACAGTGATCTACTGGTCTTTGTATGGACACACTCCATGTAAGCTTTTATACTTGGCAACTCGTCTAGTTTATCTGCATTATACTATATGTGGACACTTTCCTGAAGCCATGGCCTGCAGAGAAAAAAAAATAAAAATAAATACAATAAACTGTTGCCTTTGAGAATTTGGGTCTGAAGAAAGGTATACCTTTGCAGTATGCTCATGCCCTTTGGAATGATGTCTGACTTTTATACTCTCCAACTATTTACCATGTAGGCTTATTGAATCTGCATTTTTTCTTTTGAGTAGTGAACCATTAGTCACTGTTGCTACTTAAAAACAATACTTTAAAAAATATTTTCTGCATATAATAATTGATACTCAGGCCTCCATTTTATGTGTAGATGTCCGCTGACTAGTTTTTCTCAGTACTTTTTCTCCAAAACTACAGCTGACAGAGGTTGAATGTCTAGTCTGCTCACTAGCTGCCAAATAAATTCTTTCCAAAGTTATGTTACATTTTCTTTTAAATGAGGCTGCTGAGAGCGGAGCACTTTCTGAGGAAAGTATTTTATGTTAGGTAGCCTCTCCCTCTCTCTCCTTTCCCTTCCCCTCTCCCCCCCGCCTCTTTTTTGTGGCTATAAATAAAATAGTACTGTGCATCAGAAGGCTGCTGTGTAATAGGCGTGGAAGGACTGTCCCAGGTGGATAAATTTCAAATATTTGAGTCAAATTTGATTTGATAAGGTCTGCTGGTGTGATTCAATTTGTGTTTAAGCACGGTAAGGGAGCAGTTTAAGTACACTTGATCATAATCAGTGCTGCTCATCTGAATATGAAGAAGGCTTTGTTTAGATGGATTTGGCCTGAGCGCTGGTAATTAGTGTAAATGTCAACTAATGTTCAAAAGCTCTTTTCTTGTACAGTGGAATATGATAACATGGAGTATGACTTATAAATTCCTCAGTAGGCCGGAAACACATTTTTTTCTTTATAGTATCACTTTCCAATACTTTTTAAAATAGCTTTGTCTAAAAGATACTTTATACACATTGAATCTCGCAAGCTACTGCAGTGACTACATGTACTTGAAAAATTAGTGAGGCACAAACACAGCAGTGTAAAATCAAAAGAACTGTGCTCAGACAGGATTTCTGATGAGCTGACAGGTCACCATGGTGAAGAGATGAAAAAGCAAGGGAATTAAAGTGTTAAGTGCTTCAATGGAGAAATCTTCATTACCACCCTGTTATGTTTTGTGGTAGGATGGAAAGAAATCTTAGGCAGCGTTTTTTTTTTATAATAGTTTAAAACTTTTGAATAAAAGTTATTCTGATTCAGTAGTTCATGATGAAGATAGAGCAAAGTGTGTGGGGGGTGGCCTTTCAGGTCTTAAATGATGATAGATGAGTGACTGGGAGACAAATTTGAACACACTAGAGACCAATATTTTTTTTTTTTGCAGGACTTGTAGTCAAAACCCCTGACAGTTTCTTTGAGGGCTTACACAGTCTCAACTGATAAAATATGGGTAATGTTTAAAAGTGGTTTTGTGTGTGGGAAACAAATGCATCTTAAACTTGAATGACTTCTTTTTCAATGGAGCTGGCTACTCAGATGGCTTAATGTGGCCAGTTTTCCCCTCTAGACAGACAAACAAAGGCTGTTTCTGGTTCCTGTAAATTAGCAGTTACAACAGGTGTTCCTTGAAATGGCATTTGTGCCTCCTGTGTCTGCACAGCATATGGTTTTGGCACTTGAGAAAAAACAATGGTTTTTCAGCTTTCATTTTTTTTTTTGGTTTTGCATCTGCTTTTTTAAACATGACTTGGCAAGTGGATGGTAGAGCACAGGTTGAACGCGATAGTCTTGTTAAAGTAGAACTCAAGATCATACCTGAAGTAAAATATTTGCTGTCTTCCAAGGTGGAAGTGGGTTGCTAAAAACTAGTGGATGGCTTCTTATTAGTCTGATGCGAGGGCAGTTGGTAGTGGTTGAGTTGTTGACTTAATAGCAGTTGGGGTGTATGACATTTAGTGTTAGTTTTGGAGGTATTTGTTAAGTTCTCTGTAAAAACCAAATCCTAACTGCAAATTCAGTTTCTTTCCCAGGGCATTTTCTATAGATTTTAATATCTCTGTGTGTAGCTTGTGTGATAATAATTTAAGATTGAATCTTTTCATTAGTATACTAGTGTTTGGATGTTATCGATAGCAGAGAAAATATCTTGCCTCAGAACTTCGGCAGGAGGCAAAAAAAAATCAAATAAGTTTCCTTTTCCAGCCATGTTTTGGGCTAATTTAATTCTGTCAGCTGAAGGATGGTAAAGGCTGAAGCCTTGCTTGACTCGGGGAGGCAGATCCCTTTTGTACCCATGTATGTCTGCTCATCTTGCAGCCATTCTTTGGTACAACTTGCATGGCTGTTGATTTAGAGTAACCGTATGCTAAGCTTGAGCATGGAGGACTACTGAGAATGTCATACGTCTCAAGTGTGTTCATTTTGCCCATGTTCTTATGCTAACATCAGGATTGTTTTGCTGTTACAGATACGCAAGCCTCTATTTCTGCTGTGCCATTGAAGATCAGGACAATGAACTAATAACTCTGGAAATAATTCACCGCTATGTAGAACTTCTTGACAAGTATTTTGGCAGTGTGAGTTACTAATTTCTTTTTAGCTTTTTTATAGATTCACAGTGTTTTTAGACCAAGTCATTTTATGTTATGCCCACAGTACTCTTAAGAAACAATTAACTAGCTGTTGAAAAGGTGCATCTAACACATGTTGCTTCCTTGGCCAAACTAAACCAACGGTTGCCTACATGACTGTTACAATACAAAATTAAATTGTAACTTTGTGAGAAGAACTGTTATTAATCTCTTGTTAGCAGCTTGTATTTATTTCATTTTGTAGTAGTCTCACTTGAGGTCAGAAAATCATGTACTTGGCTCTCTGTCTAGGTGCCCAGCTTTCTTCTCCCTGGCACTGCTCTGGTGTGTGAGCACTTCTTACATCTGCTGCCCAAGGAGGCAGTTGGTTGTGAACTAACAGGAGGGGGTGAGGGAAGAGGAGACAGACATCTGCTCACCCAGACAGCAAATGCAAACAACTGTAGTAATGTACATCAGCACTCCTAGAAAAACTACTGCTCACCCTTCTGCCTTCCTAATTATTCTGACTAGGAAATGCACGGGATAAGAAATTTGAATTGTTTTTTCACATTTTTTTTCTGTAAAATTGTGTGATTTGCCTTTGAATGCTACACGCAAGAACAGAACTTTTATAGGAATACTCTCTTGTGTTACGGTGAGCCATGTCATAGTGTCAGTTTCAAACTGAGCCCTTTTTAACACTGAGAATGTTTTTCAAAGATATAACTGTAACTGTTCAGCTAAATTTTTTTTTTTTCCTCAAAGGACTGATTTTTTTTGTTGTGGTTGCTGCTTTTCTTAAAAGGTTACAGTCTGAGGCTAACATTTGATTTGCTGAAGTCTGAAGCAGTGAACAAATTAGATTTTGTGAGAGGATATACCTCAACAGATAGTACCCTCCCCCTTTGTAGTAATGCTTGATGTTCTTTTTAGGTATGTGAACTTGATATCATCTTCAATTTTGAAAAAGCCTATTTCATTCTGGATGAGTTCCTTTTAGGAGGAGAGGTTCAGGAGACTTCCAAGAAAAATGTTCTCAAAGCCATTGAACAGGCAGATCTTTTACAGGAGGTAAGCAAATTCAGCTCCTCTGGCCAAAGTGTCAGCATGGTAGGCTCTGACTTGAAAAAGCTCCTCTTTCTCTAAGCTCCTAGAAGGTGCTTTTTAGCATGCGTAGCCTGTAGTTTCTAGTTAGTTGTCTGAGTTGTACCATATGATGGTGTGACCTGCTCTTTTAATTTTGTTTGGGGTGTGTGTATCGTAATGTACTGTGATTTTGTGTTTTGCTAGAAATGCAAGTGGCTGTTTTATGTGTTATACCTAGGTAATTATAGTTTGTGTTGCTTTAACTTGGTTTTGTTCATGTGTCTTTCATCTTTTTATTAATCAGCCATTAGTTTTCTGACATACCTGATGCATGTTCACTTCTTTACTGTTTCATTGCTGAAATCCAGAAGCTAGACTCTCTTCTTTGAGGCTCATTCAGGTATAGTTCTTATTCTAAAGACCTGTCTTTCTGCTATAGGTTGCTTAGCCTGCAACATTTCTGTCCTTTAAGTTGACAAAGCAGTAATAGTAGTGCCATAGAAACATCCAGAATGAAGTATAAGAATATTTGTTTTTTTCACTTTTAATGCTTTTGTTGTTCAATACTAACTGAAGAAAGACAGACAGGTTGCATCTCTACCATTTTTCTTTGGAAAACATTGGATGGGAAGGGGTGCAATGGTATAGAAAACAGTATTGTTTCTTCATCCTATACTGGTGTTTTGATTTTTCAGATTTTTTTTTTTTTATACTGAATTGCTGTAGTCTTGAGGTCATTGTTAAGGTCCTTGAATGTTTAAATGGAAATCACAAAATTCTGACGTGCTGGAGGAATGGTCAGTCTTCTGTGCAAGTCAGTGGAAGATAGGATTTAACAGGGTTGATGGGCCTTAATTTTTTTAAATGTACTGAGGTTCACTGGTAAGATCCTATATAAATGTAAGCTCCTCTGTTTTTTCCTCTCATGTGAACCTTCCGTTCATTTCAGCCTGTGTGAGTTAATTGCTTAATTCTCCTAGAAGCATTCTGTGTTCCACTTCGTACTGTTTTTTTTCCTGTTAAATGTGGTCTTAATAGGATGGGGAGACACATCATGTTCTTTACCCTTGCAGTTATATTTGTCATCCTTGCAGAGTACAGGCAAATCCACAGCACATTGAAGTTCTTGTCTGTCAACAGCTAGTTTGTGTCATGAACAAGGCCAGTCATTACACACAGGTTTGCCACCGTATTTTCTAGGAAGGAAATACAGGCACTTATTTACTGCTGGTCTTCTGATCCAGCTTTTGTTGAGCACTTTACTCTTACAAGGAGTTACCTTAGCCAGAAGTCCCTGCAGTTTACAAAGGGAAGGGGGGAATAATCTGTTTATTCTCTTAGAATCTTTTGCTGCTCTTTATATGAAAACAGAAATAACACATTAGTTATCCATGCCAGTTTCTCTTGCGAATGCACAGTTAATTATACATAACACAGAATTGGTTTTTTTTTCTCATTCTTACTGGTTTTGAATTTTATTTTCACCATTTTCTTAGGGTTCTTCCAAAGCTAAAATGCATTTGATGTCTAGGAATGAATTACTGATTTTTCTATTTAAATAATAGCTTTTTACACTTAATATGATTACAAGTTAAAAAAATTTATGCAAAGGAAGTATCACTTTTTCAGTGGGAGACTTTTCCATGCCCTGATAGCTTTATTTCAGTTACCTTTCCTTTCCCCTTCTCTAAGATTTTGCATTCTGTCAAGGTTAATTTTTTTCCAATTAATTTGGAATGTAACAGTTTATCACAGCACCACTGTAGTCTTGTTTGTTTTCTGTTCCTAGTTATATTGACTGTAGATCAAGTATAAACCTATTCCATATATCTGGTTTATTGTTTATAAAACCTGTAAAAGTCTGAGTTCATATTTAAATAGAGCTTTCAGTAAAGCTGGACTCTTACTGCAGAGGTTTGTTTTTGTATCAACTGCTGCTATGTGCGTGCTGTGTTTGATGAAGAGGGTTGTTAAAATAATAGTTTGTCACAACTGGAGACTTTTTGGTACTTTCAGTTAATTTCTGCTTCCCAGAATACTTCACTTTTCATCCCAGTGGCTTTGGTTTGATTCCAAATGCACGCCATTTCTGGCATGGTAGTTGTGTGTTTGTTTCTGACCATGTTAGACTCTAATTATGTGCAACAAAAGGACTTTTATCTGGCCCTCATACTCATATTGTCTAATTTAAAAATTATTAATCAATGTTTAATACACATTATTAATTAGTAATGCTGCATACATTAATGTATGAAGCACCTTAAACGCTAAAAGCTCTACAGAATACTTACACAAAGGAAAATCGTTACAAGTACATTAAATGGCTATTTGTGTGATGTTAAAAGAAAATATGCAGAGGCATAAATTGCTGAATAGTGAATTTGTGCTTAATAGCCTTGCCTACTGGTATTTTCTGTGGCAGTTTTCCAGGATGTACGTCTGTTCCTGAGCACCTACTTCAGTTTGTCATTAAGTTCTTGGTGCTGTGCAGTCCACTTAGTAGTAACTGCTGGAGTTCACGGAACTGAAACATAGTAACTTCTTAAGCCTTTTTCACCTTCGCTTTCTTGTTAGTTCTTCAATAATGTGCTCAGTTCAAATATTCATTCCCTACATGCATATTTATTACCACCTGATAACTTGCCAATAGCCGGTCATCGATATTGGCCATGTTATCTGTAGGAATGGTAGTAAAACCCAATTGTTCCAGTGTGTCCATGCTCCCTTGTAAATCTATTGCTAGAAATACTTCTGTGCAAAAAGAATGCTGTCATGTGTCTTGCTTGATAAGTTTGTCTTGTTTACTATAGAAATTTTAAATACTTAACTAGTGATTACAAAGCATGTGTTTCTGGGAGATGGTTTTTGGCTTGAGCAACTCAATTACACTGTGAGAAGAGAGCTGGCAGATGCAGTGTGTCGTTGTGTGAGTTATATACACGTGGTGTGTAGCACAGCTAAGATTTCTTGTGCATGATTTTATGACACTTTTCTAATGCATGATGCTAGCAACAAAATTTTCTATGCAAAAAAGAGGATCTGATTTTTTTTTTTTTTTCACTTCAGCATTAAGCTGCTGTGTTTTTATGTGGTGGTCCAAGTCATTCATTATGGTGCTTGGGAGTTCACAGTCATTTCCTGTGCTAAAACACTAAAATGAAGGAGTTAATATTTCTAATATCTAAAGTAGGCAGTTACATAGATATTTAAAGACACAGATTCACTCATCTTCATCTGAAGTAGCAAAAAGTCCCTAAACATTGACTTTGAGTGAAAATTCTTTTAATTCATCTTATGTAATCTCTATAAAAATATTTTGGAAATTTTCCTCCTTTTGTCCACCACTATTTTTTCGTAGTGTGTGTATGTATTCTTTTAGTAGTTGATTGCAGGACATCTAAAATATTTAAGTATATTTTTTTAAGAGATATCTCAAAAAGGTCAGCGCATTGAACAACAAATCACACTTGTGTATTTCCACCGCTATTTTAGTAATGATCAAAAATCTGAAACCTATGTGAATGTTTTTTCTTAGACTTTTCCAGTTTGGCCTCTGGTAGCATTTACTAGTCCCTCCACATAAAAGAGTAATAGGTCTGCTATCAATTAACCTTATTTCCTTTGATTTTTTAAGCCCTTACCTCATCCTATATCCAGGAGAGTGCTTGAATTGTTCATGTCAGCTGACTTGTGCTAGATGCTTAGCAAGATTTAAGCTTTTAGCCTTAGAATAAGCAGCTTCTACTGGAAATGAGAATTTGGTGAATTTCTCGCATATGCCATGAAAAGTTTCTTCTGGAGATGAAATGTGGTAATTGGAAGCTGAAGGTTTAGAAGTATGAATAGTAGTGAGGAGATGGTATTAATTGCCCTTGAGATGTGAACATTCCTGTATTTTGTCATATTAGCAATGACAAAAGAAAATTCCTGATACTTAAGCCTGCAGGGGGCAAGAGTATAAGATTTAAGTATCTTATAAACAGCTTTTGTAAGAACCTGTTTCCTATGGGTCTGAGAAACTTACCATAGTTAACACAATTCAGTCTTCCCTTAATATTAGCTCTTAAACATAGATTAGCAAAATAGAATGTCTTCCTAAGCTGGCAGTGACATTATTTGCTTTGGCTATACCTGTATTCCTCTGGATGTGAGAGAAGAACGAATGATGAAATCTTTATTATAATGGAGATCTGCCTGCCTCGATTGCCCTCTGGTCTTCAAGTGTAACTTCTGGCTAGGTTTCAGGTAGTCAGCTTGGTCAGTCAGTTTGTCTGCAGTTCTTCAGATGTGTGTGCTTGATTTTTAGGCACAGACAATGATGTGTAATTACATTTCAAAAGATATGTATGAGGAGCTATAAGGGTTACCGTGAATGAGAAAAGGATATGTAGTTAGTTCATTATTTAAGGATTAGGAAATCGCTACTATCTTTGTGGATTTGGAATCCCTCCCAATTTGCAGAAGACTAAGCTGTGGCACTCTTTTGATAGCACTTCTGCAAAGTGCTTTTCAGACTTAAGGCCCTGGAGGATGTTGGGTGTGTAGCAGGAAGGAGGTTATAATGCAGTTAGATTGTTTGATCTTTTGGTATAAGTATGAAGCGTGTGCCTTGTCCATTTATATACATTGATCAAAAATGAAGTGAGCTTGTTCATTGTATTCATTCTAGACATTTTAAGATCCTGGAATGAAACTATTTCTGGTTTTAGGGGATAGGTAAAGTCTATACACAATCAGAATAAATAAGTCGCATTTGGGAATGCACATTTAACTTACTTTTTCAAGTATTGCATATTTTCTTAATTACACTGTTCAAAAAGTAGGTGCTTTTTTTAGTAGTAGGTGAGGAAACGCATGCATGTGGAAATAGCTCTTTGTAAGTTACTTTGAGCACAAGAGGTAGGCTTTTTTTCCCCTCAGCCATGGGAATAAAAAGTTGAATTGCATTTCTAACAGGCTGGCATAGTTTGTCACAAAACATTACT